ACTATCGGTGCATGAAAGCCCCTTTCTGAAACCGAATTGGAAAGGAAAAAGGATGTTACTATTTTCTGCCCATCATTCCATTCTTTTATAAATTAATTTTTCGAAAAGTTTCAAGATGTTGTTGGATAAGGAGATAGGACGTAAGGCGTTTTTCTTATTGTGTTTAGGGATGAATATAACAAAATATTTCTTTCATTCAGCTGGGAATATACATTTATGGTATATAAGATTGAACATTTTCAAAATAAAGGAGTGAGTTTCGTGTGGGAGTCGTTTCAAAATTCGATTAGAGATTAAGTCTGGTCCGGGGGCAGAATGTAGCTTAAGGGACATCAGGGCAGAGTTATATTCTGACTTGGAAAATGAAAGGGAAATGAAGAAAGAATCTATATTCGTGTGAGGAATGGGAATATTGTTTAGTGAAGGAGGAATAGTTTCACAGGTTGTGTTCGGGTTTGTGGTGGAGGTCGAGGGGGCGATGACATCAAAGGATTGTTCAAAATGTTGTGATAAAATATGATTACTAGAGGATTCTCCACGTGCAGACTTAAGAGGGTTGTAGAACGAGCGCATTATCTGCCAGATTTTATTAATGGGGGTGGAGGGAGTTAATGAGGAGCAAAATTTTTAGAATTGTTCTTTTTTTTCCTTAAGTTTTTAGAAATGATTTTAACTGTCGAAATATATTCTTCGTAGTTACTAATAGAATGGTTGGCTTTAAATTTTTTAAAGAGAGAGCTTCTCTTATATATTAACTCGTAGCACTCCTCATCCCACCATGCTGTAGGTGGTTTGCAAATATTCCTGGTATAGTCATGCTTCCTTGCACCCGCTGTCAATAATGCGTTCTGGATATGATTTATAAGAAGACTATAAGTATGATTGAGCGTAAGAGAGTTAAGATACAATTGATCAATGGCGACACGGCACTCCCGCTGGAAAACATCCCAATCCACATGTGCGGTGGAAAAGGAAGGTCTGCAAGGGAATGGAATTGATGACATATCATCAATGCGGACAAAAACAGGGAAGTGATCGCTGTCAAATCTATCATCCCACACGACCAGGAGCATCGGCCCGCTAAAGAGGCGGAGGCGAGGGTAAGATTAATGGCAGAGAAAGAGGACAAATCTCGGGAAGACCAGGTAGGGGAGCCGTTGTTGAGGCAATCAAACCCGGAGGCTGCTATGGCCTCTTTAATCCCCCGACCCTCACGATTAGAGCAAGTGGCACCGAAGTCCCACAAAGAGCTCTTGCCGTTAAAATCGCCGCCAAGAAGAATAGATTCGTAATTTGCACAAATGGTCAGGAACTCAGATCACGCGTCACGGGAGGAGGAGAAATGAACTCTAGGATAATTATATATAGAACCAATATAAATATAGGAATTATTGCCGGTTCAGATCTTGGCTAAAATGTGTTCAATGGCGTGAGTTCTCGCCACTTCCGCCAGGGAACTATCCTGGACAATATTGAATTTAAATCTTTTATCAATAAGTAGAGCCACGCCACCGCCACGCCTGTCACGATCACAGGACGAAAGGACGTGGTTGGGAAAAGAAAGATGAGTGTTAGCGTCGATGTGAATTTCGCACAGTACAGCAATATGTGCCTGAAATTTATCCAGCATGTAATGGAGATCGTCCATTCGTCTTAGTAAAGAACGGCAGTTCCACTGAACAATATTAATTGACATCTTATTATTAATAAAACGCATGGTCAACAAAGAAGAATATTTGAGCTAAGAGCTAGTTTTAGCAAATCGTTGGCAATTTCCATGAGCAGGTCATGGCGAAGGAGCTTCAAAGTAGAGTGCTTGTCAGAGCATTCTTTTATCCATGCATTTACGATTCTGTTATGAGCTGGGGAAGAGATAGGGCATTCCGAGGGTGGAAATTTTATTTTTCTGGCAGAAATCGAAGAAGCTGTTTGAGAGGGAGTAGAGGGGTATATCGGAATATTGGATAGAGGGGAAGGGGAGGGAGGAGGGAGGGGGAGGATCTCTTGCTAAAGGGGGAGAAGGTTGGGAAGAAGAAAGCCAAGAAGGCCAGGAAGGAGGACGCCCCGTTGTAGAGAGCGATGGAGGGGAATAGTTTTGTTCCGCATCAGGAATATTAGGATTTTTAGAGTGTTTGCTTTTTTTAGCTCTCTAGCTTTGGTATTATTAGTTAAGTTATTTGGGATATTTCCATTGCCAGACCGGGAGATCGGACTTAGCAGGGAGGGGGGGGGGGAAGAACTCCCGAAGGGAAGGCAGGGAAACCCCCGCAGGGGGCCGCGACCAGCCCCCAGGCAGGGATGCCAGTTTTGAGACTCTGCCCGTTGCCGTAGTATATATATAAAAGATGTAAATTAATTAAAGAAATAAAGAATATAAATAATAAAAATCCACTCTTGGCCAACGTGTACATCTTTTTCCCAAAAAATCATATTAGTAATATTGAAAAAGATCTGTTCCTTTCAGTCGTTCAGTCAGCTATAGCTGACACTTTCTCGAGATTCTCGAGAATCATATGTTAGCGCGGCTTGGCTCGTCTATGATCCGTAGATCCGCTGGAGGATAAGGAGATGGATAGACAAAATTTGAATGCAGATGTTTTAACTATTCGTTTTATTCAAAATAATAGGAGCGAGCGACGGCACGTATTCCGCAAGTCCGACGGAAATCTTCAAAATGTTCTGTTAATGACTGCCCTTTTTCGCGGTTCGGAAATCTTGATTAAGAGCTTCTTGCTAGAAACTCTCGCGAGAACGGAAATTTTGACCGCGAACGCTGGATGGAATTTAGCGCGAGGCAGAGGACATTCGCGATGCGGATAACGAGAGTCGACTCTGGAACTCCAAACAATTAACTTTCACAATATCTGAGCACTAAATAATGAAAGAACACGAATTGAGATGTGACCAAATTGCTCGCCGCGAGAATATGAGTGCAATATTATGCGAGACAATTCGGACCGAATTTGAGACGAGTAAGCCTACTGCGTACGCTACCCGAGCGAGAATAAGCGAAATGCGAATGCGAAAAGTCGATGAATTTCGACCGGCTCGAATCGTTGTCGTAGGCAGACTAAATCGACCGACCGCGGAAACTCGCGCTCTGCCAATGTGAATAACAAGTTTTTTCGGTATCAAACGTTCTCGAACCAGGTGTTTGTCACGGTTTTTCACTATAGAATAACGCGATCACGCACCGAGCGGGTGATCGCGACGCTTTTTGCTCTCGCTCGTGTTTTGGTTTCTGAGGCAATCGTTTGAATATAATGGCGAAATTTTAATGTTTCAATTTTGAACAAAAATATAGAAGAATATAAAGGACAGAACATAGATAAAGAAAAGTTATATATTGAGAATGTTAGTTTCAAAGTAACTTTATACGATTTACAATTCACGACAGAATTTTGGACAAAATTATATATAAAAAGTATACATTAAAGAATATCCGAAAAATTGTGAGTGCATTTATAAATTAATTGCAAAATAATTAAAATTAAATAAAAGTTATAAATAGAATCCTTATTTTGTCATGAATTATAGATCGTCTAAAGTGGCCTTGACACTAGAAGTACTAAATAATTTTTGACGTTAAACCGGAAAAAAGCGCACATACTTCGTTTGCATCATTTTTTATTATTTTTATGAGAAAGAAATACCGCCGAATCTAATGTCACCTAACAGCGCCGTTTTTATCTCAAAAAATCGAATCTTCGAGAAGAAAAGTCGGTCGCTTTTCCGTTCGTACGGCCGTTTACGAGACGCGAAGTTTTCGATGACGTTCAAGCTAGATTTTCGTCGCTCGCGATTAATCTATCGCTACTTCAATCAAGCCGATTGTTCCGTCGCTCGCGGAATCGCGCCTCCTTTCCGTTGCTCGCGGAAGTGCATCGTTTATTCCATCTCTCGCGGAATAGCGGTTTTGCGCCGTCGCCCGCGGTAACAAGTTTGCTGAAAGGGATATTGTACTATTTTTATTGCCGAAGACTTGTAGGCTCATTTATTTTACGAAATAAAGACACTGTTAAGCTTATCGATTCTCTCGAGCTATTTCGAACTCGGTTCCCGCAATCCTTCGTCCATTCGCACACATAAAACTGGTAGCTGTAGTTGCCGAATATAGTTCAGCTATTTCTCTCTCAGCTGTACTTTCGGAAATATTTTTACCAAAAATATGTATTCAATATTATATTAAGTAAAGTATGTGCGCTTTTTTCCGGTTTAACGTCGAGGCGCCTTAAACGAGATTTAATTTAAAGCGATAGGAGATACGGCTCGGCCGATCGATAATTTCTGAAAATTCGGGATGAAAGAGATGACCGCTTTCGAGGCAGTCGCTCTTGCTCTAGCTTATCGGGAGCTACGAGCTTTTCGACACTCCGAGCCTATCACTGCGCTTTAAACTGACATCAGTGGCGCCCAATCAGGGGCTGCCAGCTCCCGTCAATCATAAAACTACCGCGAATCTTTCCTATCATAATTCGCTCCCTTAAGACAAAAGAAAGTGAGTCATACGTTCTGGATCCTTCTAGAAGGATTCAAGATTATAAAAGAGGCGCACACAAGGCGCGGCCGGCTCTTGACCAAAAGTAATCGACGCGTACGCGTAGTTCTTCTTGCGCTGCTCGGCTAAGTTCCGTCGCGACAGTGAATCCAGTGCGCTTTCGCGGCCCGCGATCCACCGATTCTCTGTGCGGTCTTATCGTTCGACAGTGCGGTCTCCTCGTACGAGATTATCCCTCCGTTGCTTGCGGAAATATTAGATATAATTTCATTAAATTGTATATTGTCAAGTCGCTCGTCTTTCCGACGGTTCCACGTCATCCTTATTCATCGAGATCATATATCGCGGCGCTCCTCACTCTCGCGTCCACCTCTCTCTCGCTAACATTTGCTGGTCCTTCGAGCCGGATTCTCTGTGTCCGGTGCAGGTACGTGAAGTTAGTGCAGTGCCAGTGGTGAGTTCTTTTGTGTTTCTCCGAAGAACTTGCATCTAAAACCTCAAGATGAGTAAGGACATGGAAGCTGCTATCAGCATGCGGTTCGACCTCTACGGGCGCATCGCTCGCTCGTACGAGAACTTGAAAAAAGTAGGCTCTGCTCACTATACGATCGGCTTAGTGGAAGCGCGTCTACAAGCCCTCGAATCCAACTGGGAAAAATTCGACATTCAACACAAGCTCCTCGCCGCATACAGGGACGCCCTGGCAGGACATGACTACCTGAAGAAGGACATGCAGTCCCTTACGGAGGAAGCTTACATCGCACAGAAGTGTATGTTCCTTGACATACTCCGCTTCATGAAGAATAAGGTCAGCGCGGAAGCGCCTGCCATCGGCGCGAATCCCTTGCAGACATCGCGCACGACTTTGCCGCGGATCCAGCTGCCACAATTCTCGGGTTGGTACGAAGAGTGGCCTTCCTTCCGGGATCTCTTCAACTCACTCATCGTGAAAGATGCCTCCACAGCTCAAGTCGAGAAGCTTCATTACTTGAAGACGTGCTTGAAAGGTGAGGCGGAACTATTAATACGCAGTTTGCCGACGACAGCCGAGAATTTCGATCGCGCGTGGAAAATCCTGACAGGATATTACGAGAATAAACGTCTTCTAGTTTGTTCTTACATTTCGCGATTTTCGGCTCTTCAGAAACTCAAAAGTGAATCCGCTACCGAATTAAGAAAATTATATCACGGCGTAATGAGCACCGTCGGCGTTCTCGAAAGCATCGGACGGCCGATAACGCGCGGCGAGAATCTCTTCGTTCATCTCGTCGTGGATCTCCTTGATTCCCGGTCGCGTCGCGAGTGGGAAAGTTCTATCAGTGATGCGACGGAACCTCCGTCGTATACCGCGTTGCAACAGTTCATAGACCGTCGACTTCATACGCTCGAATCCTTGCAGTCTAGTCAACCGGAGACTAGCCCTGCGAAATCAAGTCTAAATTCGGGGCGTCCGTCCGCGCGTACTTCACGCTCGTAAACCCGCGAGCAAACGCGGACAGTGCTCTATCTGCAGTCAAGATCACTACATCATGTTTTGTGACGGCTACAAGGCCAAAACCGCGGCGGAAAAGAGACAACACGTTGAAGCTAACAATCTTTGCTTCAACTGCCTCGGCAAGCACAAACTAAGTGAGTGTACCTTGCAGAAAACATGCTCATCGTGTCGCGCGCGTCACCACACGACGTTGCATGATACATTTAAAGTAAGCGAAGTCGCGACATCCTTGCACTTCGCGCAGCGGTCTCAAGAAGCAACAGTGCTTCTAGCTACAGCTCGCGTTTGCGTAACAGATCAAGACGAGGTCGTGCACATCGCGCGTGCCCTCTTATATCAGGGCTCCGACTCGTCGATGATCACTTCTTCACTGGCACGACGATTGCGATTAGTTCGCCAAGCAGCTTCTACCCGAATAATCGGCGTTGGTGGGAAGCCGTCGGGTCGCGTTAACAGCAGAGTCAAGTTCCAGATATTACCTCAAGGACGAGGACCGCCGATAACGGTGACGGCACTGGTCTTTCCTCAGATCACCAACGTAAGCGGAGGGAGTAAAGGAGATCGACGAGCGTGGACACACCTCCGAGGACTGAAGCTCGCCGACCCTGACTTTAAGGAACCGGACCCGTTGGACATTCTGCTGGGCGCGGATGTCTACGCCAAAATCCTCCAGCCAGGCCTTCGAAAGGGAGTTCCCCACGAACCTATAGCTCAACGGACGTCATTAGGTTGGGTTCTGTCTGGACCCGCGGGAACAACTGGCGAAACGATGCAGCGCAACGCTCAGTCGTACTATTGCCAAACGGACGAAGATTTGTCTTCTCTCGTATCATGCGGGAGTCGAGTACCTTGACAAAGCTACGCGTCGTCTTCAACGGCTCAACGACCACAGCTTCAGGCGATTCGCTCAACCGACGCCTCCTGGTCGGCCTTAATTTACTACCTCCTCTCTGCGATGTGCTTCTTCGATGGCGTCGACATCGGTACGTGATGGCCACAGATGTGAAAAAAATGAGAAAATCGCATAAGGCACGTCGGATATGCCGAGATGATAAGAGGCTTCTTCTCAGTAATTATAAAGGCTCAACTCAGCCTTGTTCTATATAACATATTTCCAAAAGATTCTCAAATCGGAGTAAAACTGATATTGTATCCTAGATTGACTAACACGTGTTCACTCTACCGCTGCTTAGAGCGGACTTCGTACGTACTTTGATATGTATTACCAGAGAGAAGCCTGAGAAGGCAATGCCGGCGATTTTCATGGGACGCTTTTTCTAGGCCGTAGAGCAGCGCCGTGCATCCACTTTTAGAAATTGGAAACACTTACCCACATCCACTTTTTGGTACTGTCGGTCAAATCTCCATATGGTTCATGTCCGTGCTACATCCACTTTTCGATACTGTTGGTCATTTGGTTCATATCCGAAGAGATACCCTTAAAATAAAGAGTGGATGATATACAAAGATTAAGAAAGATAAAAAGAACAACATTATATTCCAGCCTTCATTTTGAGGAAGTCATACCAAATTGTTTCAGACGTGTAAAAACAGTATGCAGATGCTTGAAATGATCACTTTCATTGGACGAGGCCACCAAAATATCATCCAGATAACAGAAACAAAAGTCAAGACCAGAAAGAATACTATTCATTAAATGTTGGAAGGTCTGAGCAGTGTTTCGAAGACCAAAAGGCATTACCAGAAATTTAAAGAGTCCAAAAGAAGTAGTCACAGCAGTTTTCGGTATATCTTCTTTTGCAACAGGAACTTGATAGTAGGCTTTTACAAGATCTATTTTGGAAAATATGTTCTTTTCGTGTAGATCTGCAGTAAAATCTTGAATGTGTGGAAGAGGATATCTATCCAGAATAGTGGCTGCATTCAAAGCACGATAATCTCCACAAAGTCGCCAAGAATTTGATCCACCCTTAGGAACCATATGAAGCGGAGTCGCCCAAGAGCTACTCGATGGTCGACAAATTCCTTGCTCCATCATTGTATTAAATTCATCTCTTGGGAACTTCAATTTCTCAGGAGATAATCGTCGAGGAGTCGAAGCAGCAGGAGAACCTTTGACGATGATATGATGTTCTACCTGGTGTATTTTATTATTTGAAATTGGAGCAAAACGAGTTAACTCTGGAAACTCAGCAAGGATTTTATGGAAAGGTAAATCTGGTGAAGTTGTACAGACTGTCAAATGATTAATTCTTGACAACTTTTCTTTGTAAGTTAAACTAGTAATAGTATCAATCAATTGTCTACGTTTCATGTCAACCAATAATACATAATGACTCAAAAAGTCTGCTCCTAAAATAGGTCGTTGAATACTTGCAATACAAAATTTCCATTTGAAAACTCTGCGTAATCCAAGATTTAAGGCTAAGGTTTTTGAACCATAGGTATCAATCTTGGTTCCGTTAGCAGCAAAGAGTTTTAAAGAAGAAGACGGAGTATTTGATACTGACCTTTTTGAAACCAGAGATATGTCAGTTCCTGTATCTATCAAAAAATTAAGGCCTGAATATTTATCGGTGATAACGAGACGATTGTTGGGTGAACCGTTGACAGCCGTCTCCACCTTCAACGGAACATCTAGTTTTCCTGGTTCACTGTGAAGGATTTTGACATAGCACAAGGAATTGTACATTTGATGGCTTTATTACCAAATTTCCTGTGGTAAAAACAAGTTTGCTCATCCTTTTTATCAGTTTTCTTATTTCTTGATGACGACCTAAATCTTCTCTTTCCATTAAATCTAGATCTTGACCTATCTCTAGAACGCTTGACCACTAAAGCTGAAATTCTACGTTCAAGATCGGCGAGATCACAAGATTTAGCAACACAAGGCTCAGTTGAAGGAGTTATTGTAGCAACTTGAAGTCCAGACTCCCGATCCATGATTTTATCAGCTAAATCGGCCAACTTAATCAGAGGACTACCTTCAATAACTGCTAAAGTTGCTTGAACACGACAAGGTAATCTTTAAAGCCAAATTGAATGTAACACATTATCAGAAATAGTTCCTCCAGCCAATTGTTTAAGTTCTCTCAACAAATCAGACGGTTTCTTATCATTCAATTCAATACCAGCCAATAATTGTCTAAGCCGTTTGTCATCAGAATCAGTAAAACGATTAATAAGAAGATTCTTTAAATTTACATATTTATCTTTTTCAGGTGGTCTCTCAATTATCTCAGCAACTATTAAAAGAGCTTGTTCGTCAAGATGTCTTATTATTGTGCTATATTTGATATCATCCGAACGAATTCGAAAAACCAAAAATTCGCTCTTGAGTTGAGTAAACCAGAGCTTTGGTTGTTTATGCCAGAAAATCGGAAGCTTCAGAAGACGAAATTCGTTGGCATTGATTTCACCAGACTCACCTGAATTTTTCAGCTCGTTGCTAGTATGTTGAGCTGATCTTTCCATATTATTGGCATGCTGATCCTGTTGATCTTCTGGAGCTGAAGCTGATCCTGGAGTAGCGGGCAGTGTTCTGTCGACAGGCATCTCGAAGAATTTTCGAAGTCCTATAAAACGAAGTCTAAGGAACTTGCCGAATAATAACTCAGCTACCAAGAAGACTAGAAGATCTTGTCGAAGAAAAGCCGTAAATTTTCCAAGAAGTTTTCACAATTCCTCACTGAACAAGAAATCGGACTTGCAGATTTCTTAGTCACCATTTTTAAAGTTCCGCACTTAACGATATCACATCGGGGTCACCAGTTGTGGGAACTTATGTGAAAATTACTAGACTTTCTTGTTATTTAATAATAAATGTTTAATCAATTATAAATGCATGTATACAATGTCAGATACAGGGGAAGAAAGTAATAAATGTTTTTACAAACAAAATAAATAAATATCGTTACTAAGTAACAACAAATCAATAGCATACAATATATATATTGAAATATATCGATAAATTCGAGTCGATTAAGTCGATAACGAAATTGTCGATAACAGGAACGCCACATCCACGCATAGACTTTTCCACGCGAAGCGAGGTTCCACATAGGTTTGCAACTTTCCATGCAAAGCGAGGTTCCACGCAAACCTATTTGTCTAGTTTATTGGTAGTAGAGCCTCCCGCAGGGGGGCGGAACCCACTGTTTCCACGCATACACTTTTCCACGCGAAGCGAGGTTTGCAACTTTCTATGCAAAGCGAGGTTATATATTGGGACTTCTACGCAGTACTGTCAGCCTTTGTAGTTTCACCAATACAGCAATTGGTTTGAGATATATGTTTAACTTTGATTTTCTCGAAAACTATCACTTGTACGGTGAAAATGAATAGGACATAAAATGTTTATCTCTGTGAGATCTAAAACTTTTGTCTAAAACCTTTATCATGATTTTCCGTATTTACTGAGATAAGCGTAAAAACTATAATTTTTATGGGTTTCTCATGGTTTTTACCATGAAAATCAAATAGTCGCCAATTTTTACTATGATATTCGTAATCAGCGCATCAAAATACGTAAGAATACTGAGTTTCAAAAAAATCGGGGGTGAGTACTTTTCGGAACTTTATCCCATATTATGCCAGCCAATCACGAAATGGCTGGTCACATGACTCGTTGGCGCCTCTCTCTCCTAGAGGCTCTCTAGTGTGCTCAACGTATTGGTGTTTGTACCTTCACGGATACTACACACATACGCGATGAAAGAGAGACAAAGACGGCGCGATCATCTCTCTTTGTCAAGCGATCAGTGTACTACCATTATCGAAAAGATCGAAAAATGGATGTAGCACGAATATGAACCAAATGACCGACAGTATCGAAAAGTGGGTGTAGCACGGACATGAACCATATGGAGATTTGACCGACAGTACCGAAAAGTGGATGTGCGTAAGTGTTTCCAATTCCTAAAAGTGGATGCACGGCGCTGCTGTACGGCCTAGAAAAAGCGTCCCACGAAAATGGCCGGCATTGCCTTTCTCAGGCTTCTCTCTGATACTACCAAAATTACAATTCACGATGGAGGAGGGAGTCAATAATCGACTGAATTTCCTTGACGTCACCATTATTACCAACAATGGTGTGGTCGAGTTCGATTGGTTTCACAAACCTACATTTCAGATATCTCAATTTTGAATCACAGCATACATTTTGTCATAAAAAGGCACGATCATTGGTCTTGTTGACAGGGCCTTTCGTCTGTCTCACCCAAGATATCACGTTGCTTATTAAAAAGTTATTAACAAACAAAGATTGGTAAAAATCAAAATTTATACATAGTCTGACAATGAAAAACTGGATATTTAAGTTAGTTTATAGAAATAGTCCTACGTATACAGTAGTGTATCTAGGAGAGTTCTAAACCAGGTCCTCTGTAGGGGGGGTGAGGGGCGAGGGGAAACCGGCGCGGGGAGGTATGACGTCACGCGGGGGAATCGCGTCCTAACCGGTAGGCGAGGGGTCCGCGGAGAGGGGGGAAGGGGACCGCGTCCTAACCGATGGGCGAGGGGTCCGCGGAGAGGGGGGTGGGGGACCGCGTCCTAACCGATAGGCGAGGGACCCGCGGGGAAGAGGGGGATCGCGGCGATATGAGCGTAAGACAAGGATAGCGTTTGCATGCACTTGAGAGAGAGAGAGATAGCGTTCGCAAGGCGGTGCGAGAAGGATAGCGCGAGAAGGATAGCGCGAGAAGGATGGCGCGAGGCATGTATTTGGGAGAGAGAGAGAGAGAGAGAGAGAGAGATAGCGCGAAGCATGCACTTGGAAGATACGGCGTTCGTAAAGCGGTGCGAGAGAGAGAGATAGCGTTCGCAAGTTAAATTTTGCAGACTGTGTATATATATTACACCGTTTTTATTCATACATACATACATAAAGGATGGGATAAATAATTAAACTCACAGATAATTAGTAAAATAACTTATTTATTACAAGCATCGTGAAGAATATCATTTACAGCACATGTCAATAACTCGCAATCTATGAGCGATTCGCTGTTAAACATATCACTTTCACGTATCGCTTTTGCAGCGTCGCATACATTAGCGATATTATTACGTTGTAAAACAGTTACAAATTGTTTGAATTTTTCATTTACAATATGCTTATTTTCGCATAACCAGTAATACATATGATCTACGCATTTTTCAAAATTGAATAAATAGAATAGAGTTGGCGGTTTCATATATAATTTAAACATATTTAAAATATGTATTAGCGTTGTAAAATTGCAATGTGGTGGGGATTATTGCCGACGCGATATTTTTTTCAATTTTTCTATTCAAGCGCCGATGTACGGCTGCTTTGCGATGACATCACCCCCAGGTGTGAAATTTAGCCGAATGCGCAAAAAATGCAGCATAATATAAAATTTTCAAGCGCCGATGTGCTGCTGCTTCGCGATATCATCTCAGCCCAGATATCAGAATTTAAACGCGCGTGTCAAAACATGACAAAATCGTGAAATACAAGAACAAGTATCAAGGTTAATTTGTGCTAATATATAAGTAATCTAAAACTTTTTCGATGCATCTGGGCTGAGATGACATCCGCGTGATCTGTGGTCGCCGCTCTACATCCAGCTAAATTGAAAGTGGATCGGGAATCTTCGTATCCGCAGTACTGAACGACAGTACTGAATCTCCAGGACATTGAGTTTCCAGTGACTGTGAACCAAATTAAAAAATTTGAACTTGCCAACGATATCTCAATCAATGTATATAGTATCGAGAAAAAAAACATTGTCCCGATACGTCTGAGTGAGCTGAAAAGAGACAAACACGTCAACTTGCTGTACGTGGAAGACAACAACGTTGGACATTTCGCGTGGATCAAGAATCTATCCAGGCTCGTAAGATCGCAATTGAGCAAACATAATGGTCAAAAATATAACTGCGATCGGTACGTATATATTTAATAAATTATATTGCAGAAATCTTTGAACAAAAGTTAAAAAAGTATTTCTTTTACAGATGTTTGCACTACTTTGATTCGAATGACAAATTACAGTCACATACGGTGGACTGTCGAGAGATGAACGAGTGCGCTATCCGATTACCGAGCGATAAGGACAAGTGGCTCACGACGTGTAAAAACAATTTTATCAGCTAATGTCCGCATGGTAAATCTAACATCTGATAAATGGAAAAAATTTTACAGCGCGACACATTGTCACATTTGCGAGAAACCATTCGTACAAGACGATACACGCGTACGCGATCATTGCCATCTGACCGGGCGATACAGAGGTCCCGCGCATTCAAATTGCAGTTTAAATTATAAAGATTCTTTTTGCATTCCAATAGTTTTTCATAATTTATCCGGTTACGACGCACATTTTATTATCATGAAAATAGCTACAGCGTTCGAAGGGGAAATCAAGTTACTTCCAATAACAAAGGAAATATGTATATCGTTTACGAAAAATGTTAAACTTGCCGAAGAGAAATCAAAAAATCATATTAAATTACGTTTGATCGATTCGTATAAATTTCTCACAGCTAGTCTCGATAAATTGGCATCATTCTTGAATAAAGACAAACTCAAAATTTTAAAATCTGAATTTCAAAATTTACCGAATGACAATTTCAATTTATTAACACGGAAGGGCGTCTTTCCGTACGAATATATTGACTGCGTCGACAGGTTGCAAGATATGTGTTTACCACCGCGCGAATCATTTTACAGTTCTTTGACCGGTGACACGATATCCGAGAGAGATTACGCGCACTCCGAGAACGTGTGGGAGCGGTTCTCCATTCGAACGCTGGGCGAATATAGCGATTTGTATCTCAAAATTGATGTCTTGTTATTAGCAGATATTTTTGAAAATTTCCGCGAGAGTTGTATTAAAAGTTATGGGCTCGACCCCGCGTATTACTATACTCTTCCCTATACACGTGGGACGTCATGTTGAAACATACGAATATTACATTCGAGTTGCTTACGGATTTCGACATGGTTTTATTTATCGAACGCGGAATACGCGGCGGCTTGAGTCAATGTTCCAACAGATATGCACATGCTAATAACAAGTATATGCAATCGTACGATCCATCGAAACCTTCATCATATCTCACGTACTTTGATGTAAATAATTTTACATACACAATAATTTTACAAGAAAAAATTTGTATAAATTAATGAATAATGCGGTATTTGACAAAACGATGGACAATGTGCGCAATCACGTTAATATTAAGCTCGTGACACATTGGGATGGAAGATATGGCGCAGAGGCGATGATCGCAAAACCAAATTTTCATAGTAGAAGCGTGTTTTCGGAGAATCTGATCGCC